AGCCCCGGCCCCCGGGCGCTCGCATTCGAGCCCCAACCCCGGGCCTGGCTCTAGGGTGGGGCCCCGGCTGTGCCATGCCGGGCGACGTCACGGTCTATGTTATTATAAAATATATTCCAGTAAATCATTGATTTTGGCACTAAAGTGGAAGATCAAGACTCATTTATTTTAATGAGTCTCTTTGCAGTTAATATACCTTTGAGCTTTACTGTTTATAATATTACTAAGACACTGGTAACATTTGGAGGTGACCCACTGGGCAGCTGTGTGAGTAACTGACCACATTTTTCCATCTCTAGCTTTGTTTCAATTTATTATTTTGTTTTAATTCAATTTAATTCACAGACCTTTATTTTTCCATTAGGGACTTCATTCAAGGGTGGCTGCACACAGTACAACCAGAAACACACACACACATCTGAGTAATTAAGGGGACAGTTTTAGTAACCGTAAGATAAAAAATGCATGTATAAGGATGAAACATATACACAGATCTACCATCAAAACAGACATACAGTACCAGGTTCCAACCTTTAGAAGAAAATATGCATTTGATAGCTTATAATTAACCTTTTATATCATTCTTAAGCCAGTGCCAATGCAATGCTCAGTGCAGAATGTAGTGTGATTTATCATGGCCCAGTAGTGACTACACTGGAAGCAATAAGCAGCCAGGAGGTATGGAGCCTGCCAAGACACATCACATTTGCTTGCCTTATCGGTGTGAATCAGAGAAAGAGGTCATACAAACATAATGCTTCCATGTTGAAGTCAGAATTAAATAGAACACACAAGCGCAAGGCAAGGGTGTTTATACAAGGAGAACGCGAAAAGAGAAATGATGAGCAGGAGAATTACAGACATTATGAACAGCAAGGAGAACAGATGAGAAAAACAGAGAGCCATGCAGACACAGGAGAAGAGACAGGCTGATAGAATGTAGAAGAAGTCAGTGGCGTGCACAAAGATGATGTTTTAATATCACAAGAGGCTGAGACGAATCAGAAACAAATGTGCATATTCAGCACATGCCACTTGCTGCAGTCACAGAGTGCACTCTGCAACATTAGCTAGCAGTGCAATAAAGAGTGGCAGTCACTCAGCAGCTACAAATAGTATTAGGTTTTCAACTGGATTCAAATCTTAACAGATTTATATAAAGAAATCTGCATGATTGCCCAAGATTCACCCACATATAATTCTTAAAATCCACTTAGCAGTTTTTCTCTGTAGCCCTAATAATGCAGTTCTTTGTCAAAAAGGCTAATTTGGGGTGGCTGGGTAGATGCATACCATATAAGTGCAACACTCCTGATTCAATTATGGCCTCAGCATTTTTCTTCCACTATCACTATCACCTCAAGGTCACAGCAATATTTAACCTAACTTCCCTTGCCAAAACAAACAACTTGTATAATCACCATCTTAACTAACAAAATGAAATGACATCATACATGCAAAGTGTCTTGCATATGTTTTCTTAACATGGGGCCAAGTTGCAGGGGAGTTAAAGGTACTCAGAAGGGGTCGAGTTTCTTTTCAGACGTCTGCAGCCTGGATTTTAAAAAGGAGGGATGCTACTACAGGAACATCTGATGTACCGAATGAAATGCAAGTTATTTTACTGCAGCTATGAAAATTTTCAGTGAGTGCCTTGGAAAATCAATAGCACTCACCACTGTCTTGCTCTGTTTCAGTCATGGTTAGCTGTCTGGGAATGACTTAACTATTTAAGCTGATGACATGAATACAAACAAATGTGGAGATACAGTCTGCCCTGCCATCCAGCCCACACGGGTTTTTGATGTACATGCAAATGTTTTCCAAAAATATGGGTTGGTAATCTTGTGTTTTCCTCTGTGTCTGCTGTCTGTTTTAAAATGTCTTCAGCAGAGGATGAATTATGGCTCCAAATCGGTGCCAGGCATTCTTTCATGTACATAACTGTTAACTGTGATTTATGAGTGACAACACAAACACAGAGAGGGAGAGAAAACACAGGGAGAAATAGAAGAGAGAGGAAGAAGCTGGGGGTGGGAGCAGGGAAGCAGTAAGTTTCGGAGCCTTGAAGGAGGCAGCAGGTGTTGGAGCTCTTCATTCAAAAGTTTGCACACGTGGAAGCAACTTCAGATGGACACATGAAAAACACGAACACACACCAAAAACTGAAGAATTAAACAATGTCTTTACCACCTGTAGACTCACATATGTGCTAGTGTGTGTTAATCTTACCATTTTAAAGTCTAACACACACATCATTAATGACGATGAATGATTCACTGATTGAATTGTACAGAATGTGCAGTCTCAGTTGGGCTGCCCTGTAAAAGTAAAGAATGATGTCTGTTATTGAGCCTCGCTGATTAGGGTGACATACTTTTCTCATGACATGAAGTTCAGAGCACAAACGCCCACGAGCATTTGAGGAGTCCTGTTCAAGAGCAAGTGGTGAAGAATGACTTCCTGTGACTGACATAAAGATCTTAAATACAAACCTGACTGTTTCAGGACTCATGGATCATCTAGAATCATGGCTGTTCTTGGTACTCTTAGTCAATCAGCAATGATCATCAAACGCCCAACTATTTCTTATCAACATCTCAGCCAATTTTGGGATCTTTTTGACCTTCTTATCATTATTAAAACAACCTGAGCGTTACCTTTCCCGCAGGCTCCCCGCTGAATGAAAAGAACAGGTGGCTGTTGTAGCTTCTGCGCCCGGCGGCTGACCCTCTTAAGTTCGCAAATATTCCGGTAGGACACTCCATCGCTTCCACAAACCGGTTCGGTGGTTTTACACATGCAAATCCCACTCTTGCTTCTCCTTCTCACCGTTGCAGTGTATGCCACTCCGCCGGAGACCGAGCACTCCAGCCCTTCTCCACACACGGGGTCCCCAAGCTTCCCGGTACCGCCACAGGCTTCGCCCTCACCGGACGCACACACTGGGCAGCAGTGGCAGGCGTCGAGGGTTTGCCCCGCCTGGCAATCCGCTGGTAGCCGGGGACACATCGACTTGTCACACCGAGAAGGGCATCCGACGACAAACCGACTGGAGATTTGCGCATCTGCCTGCGCGGACGCAACAGCTATAATTACGCACAACAGTGACCAACGCATGACTCGAATTAAAAGTTTTTAAAAGTTAAATAGGAAGTTTAAAAGAGTTCCACAAGTTTGTTTTCTGCTTGCAGTATTAAGGGATGAGAACGCTCAGTAGTGCTGAGGGGGGAGTCACTTAAGCAGGACAGGAATTTCACAGAAACCAACCAACTTCTCGACTTTAGCTTTTTCCTGGCAGTGCATCATAGAGGCCACTTACTTTCTAGATAATCACAACAAGCCCGGTGATTGGTGCGTCAACGTGACGTATAACTGCTGATGTGACTCCCGAAACACGAGCATAAAAAGACAGAGGTAAAAGCAGCAAAGAAACCTGACCAGCTGTGAAGCAAAACTTTAATCTATGTTTTCAAGCTGTGTGTAAATTTTCCTTTTGGTTGCTTCCAAGGGGAATTGAAGAGGTCAAAGAGGTCAAGGTCAATCAATGAGAAACCCCCAGGACATTTCACCAGAGCCAGTGACACTGACCTCTATTTATTTATATGCAAACAAATAAAAATACAAGTTAAAAATCCAGCGGAAAGAACCAGTTCAGCCCAGATGTCTTATATGCAGCACAACTCTCCCAGGCCTATTTCCTGCTCCTTTATGAATTAGTCACTCCTGGCATCAACACACGCTAATTAGGAAAATCAGTGGTGGAGCAAAGCTGGATGGATTGGGGGATTTATGGAGTTAATGTAGGACTTTCATGTAGCCTTTATAAAGAGCCAAATTTGTTCTAATTGGAAGCTTCGTTTATCCATTTATTATGATCTAATCCCAGCTTTATGGGTCATCAGCGCCCTTTTACAAGAAAAATATAGAACATTTATTAGGGACACCTAAATAACAAGAATCATTTGCTACTAAGTTAATGTCAGTCAAAGAGTAATCAAAATATTTCTTTTAATAACCACTTGTGGCACATGGTCAAAAGATTTCAATACTAAGGGACTGAATTTTACAATGTTCTGTTAGGTTTAAGTGTCTGTGGTGGGCTGTCAGAGTCCATTAAACACTGAAGCAGTGAACCAGTGTCATAAAGCACCTCAACACAATTTGATTGATTATGGGTGCAGGGCTGTTGTAATGGCTCTTTGTTTAAATGTGGTGGTTGTATGAAAGGGAGCAATTCTCTGAGAAACTGCTTGGGAATGGGGGACTTGAGGGATGGGGCCTCCTATGGTGTGTCGGCACTGTGGGTAACACAAGTCTCTATGTTCAAAAGGCATTCAGAGATGGGGGCATAAAGACAAGGGGGGCAGTCAAATGCCCTCTAAGACTGGACTGCCCTGTACTATGCAGTACTGTGCAGACTGTAACCAATACTTTAAGCTCAGCTTACTGTTCTGAGTTAAATGAGAGGGTACATTTATTTTTGAGCCAGGAAATCAGAGCACCGTGTCATACTAATATACACATTTTTGAATTAATGAAACTCATACAGCAGTAGTAGGACCTTACAGCATCGGCAGAGACATGAAGTGGGAAATAAGAAATAGTGGGAAAATCTGCAGATGAAAATAACTGCATCTGGGAACACCCATTCTCTAACCAGGGCCAGTGAGTGTAGCCAAGGCTGGACACCAATGAGGTCTGTGTGATCTCTCCACTCTAGTCTGCAATGATGTCTGGGCTGTGAGGGAGGTCCTTGAGAGTTCCAACGCCTGAAGCCACACCAAAGTGTTGCTCCCTACAGTTAAAACCAATAAAGAGCTGAGACACAGTATAGATATAAATAAATTGCTACTGAAAAGGTGGACAACCAGCTACAGTACGTTGTGTTTTCCTTTCTCTGTCTCCCTCGACACATCCTTATAAACTCTCTAGTGCCCACCTTGCATACACAGTAAACTGTACATACAAAGACTGAAGCTCAGAGTATGTTGCAGCCTGTTATCTGTCTGATTAAAGAGGCTTTACATATTTAGTGTTGCTCCATGACAGTTGCAAATCCATCTAAACATACTGTATTAAGCGAGGGGCTGCATATGTAATGAGCATCTTACAGAGCTGTTGAAGAATACCCATACGCACAGAAAAAAAAAAAACCAACTGGACTTGGTTTTAGGTAGGGGATGTGATATCTCCTGCTCAACACCAGTCGGACAGAACTGATGAAGCCTCTTGGATGAGAGGTGAAACGTCTTCTACCTAAAACCAAGTCCAGTTGATTTTTTTCTACGTTTTTTCAGCTTACTATAACCTGGATGACTGAGAATCTGCATGGACCCATATGTTCAGTATATACTGTATCTACTGTAAACAATCAGTGTTCTGCATTTAACCACGTCCACTTACTAAATCTGTGAACGCAACTGCAAATTTAAACAAACATTTCCATTTCATCTACTTTTAACTCTGCTACATCCCAGAGTAAAATGCAGTACTCATTACTCTGGTACATTTATTAAATACAGTGGGTACGGAAAGTATTCAGACCCCCTTAAATTTTTCACTCTTTGTTCTATTGCAGCCATATGCTAAAAGCATTTAAGTTCATTTTTTTCCTCATTAATGTACACACAGCACCCCATATTGACAGAAAAACACAGAATTTTTTGACATTTTTGCAGATTTATTAAAAAAGAAAAACTGAAATATCACATGGTCATAAGTATTCAGACCCTTTGCTCAGTATTTAGTAGAAGCACCCTTTTGAGCTAATACAGCCATGAGTCTTTTTGGGAATGATGCAACAAGTTTCTCACACCTGCATTTGGGGATCCTCTGCCATTCCTCCTTGCAGATCCTCTCCAGTTCTGTCAGGTTGGATGGTAAACGTTGGTGGACAGCCATTTTCAGGTCTCTCCAGAGATGCTCAATTGGGTTTAAGTCAGGGCTCTGGCTGGGCCATTCAAGAACAGTCACAGAGTTGTTGTAAAGCCACTCCTTCATTATTTTAGCTGTGTGCTTAGGGTCATTGTCTTGTTGGAAGGTGAACCTTCGGCCCAGTCTGAGGTCCTGAGCACTCTGGAGAAGGTGTTCGTCCAGGATATCCCTGTACTTGGCCGCATTCACCCTTCCCTCGCTTGCACCCAGTCGTCCTGTCCCTGCAGCTGAAAAACACCCCCATAGCATGAGGCTGCCACCACCATGCTTCACTGTTGGGACTGTATTGGACAGGTGATGAGCAGTGCCTGGTTTTCTCCACACATACCACTTAGAATTAAGGCCAAAAAGTTCTATCTTGGTCTCATCAAACCAGAGAATCTTATTTCTCACCATCTTGGAGTCCTTCAGGTGTTTTTTTAGCAAACTCCA